TTTATCTATCATAAGACTTTTGACATGCCGTTCTCGGTAAATTTAATCACTTCTAGCTTGTGATTTAAAGTGAGAGACTAGCAACTCTTCCTTTCACTGGAACACTTAGAGGCCATTGTACGGTTATTTATTGTTCTGTCTCAGGGAAGAGGGAGGCCAGAGGGAACAGGGAAGTTTTGGTGGGGCAGTCAGAATACACACATTTACAGGTTGCCATTTTATATGGGCAACGTGCATGGTCCCCCAAAACAATTACTAAGGTAACACCACACCAAAAATCACTCCTTACAGGTTACCACGTCATATGTAATAATAATGAAAAAGTCTGAAATGTTGCAAGAATTACCAAGATGATGGGGATAGATGAGTGAACGCATGTTGTTAGAAAAATGGCACCAACAGCCTTGCTTATTGCAAAGTTGCCACAAACCTTTAATTGGTAAAAAAAAAAATTGATAAGGTGAAATGCAATAAAGCAAAATACAATAAAATGAGGTGAGCCAGTACCTATTTAAAGTATTTGTGTATACATACTTATCTTAAGCAACAAAGTATTTGTTAGCACTATGGTAAGACAACCCATGTAACTGTATTTGTGTCAAAAATGATAAGCCAGGCCAGCCAGGGGGGCTCATGCCTATCATCCTAGCATCTTAGAAGGCCAAGGTGGGAGGATTCCTGAGGCCAGGAATTCAAGACCATCCTCGGCAACATCCTGAGACAACCCTGTCTCTTAAAAAAAGGTGATAAGCTGGTTGAATTGGTTAAAGGGATTACATAAACAACCGAAATATAAAATGATCAGGTGATGTCATAATTCCTCTGCTCAAAGGAGAGTCTGTTGTTTAAATCTGATGACGCAGGCAGTGCCTGTGGCTCAAAGGAGTAGGGCGCTGGCTCCATATGCTGGAGGTGGGCAGTTCAAACCCAGCCCTGGGCCCCCCCCCAAAGAAAAAGAAAGAAAGAAAAAAACTGCAAAAAAAGAAGTTATTTAAAAATAATAACAATAAATAAATCTGACGATGCAAGGCCAGACACTGTGACTCACACCTGTAATCCAGATGCAAACCTGGGCACAGTGGCTCATACCTGTAATTTTAGGACTCTGGGAGGCTGAGGCAGGTAGATTGCCTGAGTTCACAGGTTCAAGTCCAGCCTGAGACAGAGCAAGACCTGTGTCTATAATAGCTGGGTGTTATAGGGGGGTGGCTGTAGGCCCAGCAACTCGGGAGGCTGAGACAGGAGAATTGTTTGAGCCCAAGAGCTTGAAGTTGCTATGAGCAGTGATGCCACAGCATTCTATCAGGGGCGACAAAATGAGACGCTGTCTCAAAAAAAAAAATCAGCAAAAAACCTGATGATGCAGTGGCAGAGGAGAAAGGAGAACACGGAGATGATGGGGCTAGGGAGGGAAGATGAGGGAATACAGTGGTTTTCAGGACACACAAATTTAGGTACAGATTATAGTAGAACACCATGGATGCAGGTTTTGTGATTTTTTTTTTTTTTTAAGACAGAGCCTCAAGCGTCATAGAGTCATAGCTCACAGCAACCTCCAACTCCTGGGCTCAAGAGAGTCTCCTGCCTCAACCTCCCAAGTAGCTGGGACCACCGCCACAACGCCTGGCTGTTTTTTGGTTGCAGCTGTCATTGTTGTTTGGCAGGCTGGGGCTGGATTTGAACCTGCCACCTTAGGTGTATGTGGCTGGCGCCTTAGCCACTGGAGCCACAGGCGTCAAGCCAGCTTTTGTGATTTTTAAAAAGCCTTGGTTTAAAGCTTCTGCTTTATGGTATGGTGGGCCCTCACCCCATAGCTGAAATGATCGTTTGAAATGCTAGTCTTCTTACTCTCCCCTTGCTACCAGAATAATCCAAGACTTTATTTTTTATTTTTGCTTTTTGAGACAGAGTCTTACTATGTCACCCTCAGGAGAGTGCCTTGGTGTCACAGCTCACAGCAACTTCGAAATCTTGGGCTTCAGCTATTCTTTTGCCTTATCCTCCTAAGTAGCTGGGACTACAGGTGCCCGCCACAACGCCTGGCTATTTTTTTGGTGTAGTTCTCATTGTTGTTTAGCAGACCCAGACCAGGTTCAAACCTGCCAGCCCTGGTGTATATGGCCAGAGCCCTAACCACTGAGCATGGCACTGAGCCATAATCCAAGACTCCTAATAGTCTTGGCCTCTTTGTTCCTTTTTCCTTTTTTTTGAGACAGAGCCTCAAGCTGTCCCCTTAGGTAGAGTCATAGCTCACAGCAGCCTCCAACTCTTGGGCTCAAGCGATTCTTCCACCTCCGTCTCCCAAGTAGCTGGGACCACAGGTGCCCGCCACAATGCCTGGCTATTTTTTGGTCGCAGCCATCATTGTTGTTTGGCGAGCCCGGGCTGGATTCGAACCCACGACCTTAGGTGTAGGTAGCTGGTGCCTTAGCCACTTGAGCCACAGGTGCCGAGCCTGTTCCTTTTTCCGTTCCCTGCCTCACACTACTGAAATACTTTTCTAATTCCAGAGAAACATACCCTGTCAGTCTATGCAATTTTTCTTGATTTCTTGATTTCTGGGTCTGGAATGTTAGTCTCATTTTCTTTGCTTGCTTAGTATTAGTAATTATTTTCTATTTTTTGTTGTTGTTGTTTGTTTTTTATTTTTTGAGACAGAATCTCATTGTTTTCCTGGATAGAGTGCCAAGGCCTCATCATAGCTCACAGTAACTTCAAACTCTTGGGCTTGAGTTTCTCTTGCTTCTCTTGCCTCCCAAGTAGCTGAGGTTACAGGCCCTGCCACAAGGCCCCACCAGGGTGCCGCCAGTTTTTCTATTTTTAGTAGAGACAGGGTTTTACTCTTGCTCAAGCTGGCTTCAAACTCCTGAGCTCAAGCGATCCACCTGCCTGGGCCTCCCAGAGTGCTAGGAGTACAGGTGTGAACCCCACCTTACCACCTATTATTTCTCTTTTGAAAGCTCTGACCTCATGTTAGAGAACCTTGGCTCTGGCTTGGTGCCTATAGCTCAAGTGGCTAAGGCACCAGCCACAGGCAGGTTTGAATCCAGCCTGGGCCTGCCAAACAATAATGACAACTAGAACCAAAAAATAGCCTGGCTTGTGGCAGGTGCCTGTAGTCCCATCTACTTGGGAGGCGGAGGCAAGAGAATTGCTTAAGCCCAGGAGTTGGAGGTTGCTTTGAGCTGTGATGTCATGGCACTCTACCCAGGGGTACAGCTTGAGTTTCTGTCTCAAAATAAAATAAAATAAAGACAATTTAAGGAAAGATTTTAATAAACAAAAGTAATTGAATAGC